GGAAGGAAATGGAAAAAGGGATCAAAATAACATAATTTTGCTCCTGGGGAGACCCAATAGACTGAATCATGTGAAGTTGGAGCAGAGTTTCTCAGCCTCAACACTACTGACATTTGTGGCCAGATAATTCTTTGTTATGCAGGCTGTCCCATGCACTGTATGATGTTTAGCAACATCTGTCCTCTACCCACTGCGTGCCAGTAGCATACTGACCCCACCTGCCATCTTGTGACAACCAAAATGTTTGAGGCAGTCTTTGATAAATATCATGCTCTAAACAAGGTGAGGAATAAACCAAAAAGCAAACATGGAGGTGACACTGTCACCTTTATTACTGATAGAGCTGGACTGGAGAATATGAGTTTAAGTCTGTAAGCCAAGCTGGTGTGCTAACAATAAATACAGAACAAGGCCGACTTACCCACCAAGTCCCAGGGAGGAAGGGGTCGTCAGGGAGGTAAGGACAATTGATACTGTCTGAAGGCAGCTCACTCCCAAGAGAGAAGTGGGGTAGGCGTGGAGTTTTGCTGAGTGTAACCAGATTTTATATATTTGGTCCCTGCTTTGGATTTTAGGTGCACATAATCAAATTCATTATAATCTTTGGTTCATGACACCCTGTATTTTTTATTTATTTAGATATGTTTATTTAGATATCTCAGTAGTTATTTTTAATAATGTAACTCACACCTAGTAATTCACTATCCAAAATAAAGCTAGAAATGTAACAATTACATACTTTTAATCATACGGTGCTTCCCAGCCCATCTTCTCCCACCTGAGAAACATCTTCCTGATATATATTTTTCCCAAATTTACCAATAGAATAAATCTTTCTACCCCCTCCAGACGTGGTATGGGCAAAGCTGGCAAAGAGAGGTCAGGAATGAGCTTAAGGAAAATGCTTCCTCAAGGAAACCAGGAGGGAGGAAACAGATTTCCATCTAATGGGTGGTGTGAAACTTGTATGTTTCCTTATTTTGTCAGAACACAGGGTGTCCCTAGGAACTATGTATATGCCAGTAAAACTCTAAGAGGATCATGTGGAGTGTGTAGAACTTGAAGGGCTATTGCTGTTTATTCATGTAAAACTAGTTTTGTCAAATTGAGTGAGCGGTGATGAAACTGGGCATCCACAAACCTGGCATCTGCAGCCCAACTTCTCGGTCTGTTCCCCTAAAATCTAAGTTTTGTTTCACATGCTGAGTATTTTTTCATAGCAAAAAAGCAGTCTTTCTGTGGATTAGCTCTCCCTCAATTTTGAGTTTTATGATTTTATTTTCTTCATAGTAGAAGGAGTCCTTTCAAAAACAGAATCGTACCATTTTAGAGTTGACCAAATGCAACATCTCTGCCAGGGCGGTAGGTTAATAACAAATGGCACTGTAATGACAGATTCAGGTTTGTAATATCGTTGTGTATCTACAATCTATTTAAGCCATACTTCGGCGTCTAGAAAGTGGTTGACAAAGGAGCAACATACCCATGATGCCTGAGTTTTTCTGAGTTTGCAAAGCAGCTATGATTCCAAGTTGCATTGCAGACCATATGATCCTACTAACGTCACCAAGTCAAGGAAGGAGTGACGATGAGCCGTCACTAACAAGTAAGCACCATGGCACAGGGATCATTTCTGTCTATTTCACTGCTGCATCTCCAGAATCCTCGAACAGAAACTCGTGCACTGTAGTACTGTTATTTGGAAAAGCAGAGTCCTGGTGATGAATAACAACAGTCACATCCAGTTCTTGAGCACATTCCTCTTGCAGTGCCCCGTGCTGGGTGGTTTGCACTGGTAGTTTAATTTAACTTGTGCTGCATGGGATTATCATTATTATCATTATTGCTTTGCTCTTGATAAAACTGAGGTCCAGAGGGGTGAAATTATTTGCTGTAGGTCACACAGCTGCTACATGTAGAGCAAGGATTTGGCCCATGTCGTTCCTATCATCCCATCTTCTCATAAGCCAGAAAGAGATGTAGCAGGTGACTTGGTTTTTGGTTGTGATTATGCCATCAACTAAGTAATGCTGTGCAAATTACAGGTCCTCTGAGTATCAGAGTCCTTTTGTTTCAAAGGCTAGGCTCATAGTTGATCAAGAAGAGCCTATCCAGATATAAATAATCTATGCACAACCTTTAGACTAGGATAAAACAATTTTGATGTTTTATGAAGTCTTTGAAGAAAACTTGAACTGATCTTGATTTCCCCAAAGTAGCTTAAGTTTTGGATGACATGCTCCTTCTTTATTTGCTTTTCTGTTTTTTGAAATTACTTTGTTATATTATTTAAGGTTTGCGTAGGCAATGAATTTCTTTATTTTCGATAAACTCTATTAAATATAGTATGGGCTAGCTTGAGTGAAATGTGATTAGGCTCAGAGAGAAATGGAGATTAGATAACAGGTACATGAACTTGAACAGCTCCCTCCCCCCGTTCTTTAATGCAACATGTGCGATTTAGACGTATTTTTTTTCTTTCGATACGCAGTCAGTTCTCTTAGCTCTTACGGAACTATTCAAAAAAGGAATAAACCTGCCTATGTGAATGCCAGATTGCAGGTAAGTCTGCACTGTGGCATATAAAGAGAAGGGAGGACTTGGAAGCCAAAGAAGTCTTTGCTTGAATCTCTGCCGCTTACTACCTGTGCAGTCTTGGAAAGGGCACTTGATTTCTGAGCCCCAGTTTTACAATTTTCATAATGGAAACAATAACATATATCTGATATTTCCATTATAATGGATATTAATACTCTTATTAGACACTAACTCCAGCATAAATTTAACAAGGGTGCCTTAAACCCCTCTTGGCGAAGCTGAACATTCTGTAGGCTGGCTTATATTGCCCAGGGCTTAGACATTGTGTTCCTGGTCCATGCTGCACAGTTGTAATGATGTTGCTATCAGTTAATTTAATAAAATACTTATGTATACTATGTGTCAAACACTATTTTAAGTGCTTTATAAACATTAATTCATTTCATCCTCACAGCAGCCTGTTTATTATGACATGTACCTTCTGAGGTCATCACAAACATCTTCTGCTTTCTTCACAAAACCTCCTGTTATCATTTCTGTGTAAGGGTTGAGTGAATCAGGAGCACACATGTATTATGAAGCAACACTGAGCCTCCTAACCAGGTCTGTAGATCCGTTGTGTGTGCGTGTTTGTGCATGCACATGTGTGTGCACAGATCTGGATCAAGTGCTATTTTGACTGTGCCATTAAAGAAACCCAAGCTGAGCCTCCTGCTTCCAAGCCCCTGCCTTCTTACGGCACCTCTTGAAACTTTTCCTTACCAGCTTACCATCTGTCGTTTTTACCTTGAAAAACACTTTACTGTTCTGTTATTAACTTTGATGCAGAACTACACATTAAATATCCTACTTGACTTAGACACTAGAACCCATAGGTGTGATTTTTGGGACAAGAGATTTTGTATGCATTTGTATAAATATATTTTTGTATATTTTGGTTTTCGTGATAAACATATCAAGGCAGATCTTTTCTAAATGTTTTTTTGTGTAGCCCCTGGATACTGAGATGCTGGAAATAGGAAATGGTATTCAAATACCAAGGTAAACACTGTCCTCTGGCAGAAGCAAAGGAGCTCACACTTAATTGCTAAGCTACAAAACGTTAAATCATCCAGGGGATATTAAATGATGCGGAAAATGACAATATTGTGAGAAGTTCTATGTACTTGAACTAGTGTTCAACAATCTAAAGGCATTATCTGGCTTTTTAAAGTTAGACCCATATAATTTCTGTGATGATGGCAAAATATAACTATGTCATTTTTCCAGGGTGACATTTTCTAACTGTAATTAAAAATAAAAACATTTGCTCACCTAGCTCTCATGTGAATAAAAGAAACTCTGGGTTAACAAGTTGCAATCATCTTCAATAATGAGAACTTTTGCAGGTTTAGTACACTAAATTATTGGTTATCCAGCAAGGTCTGATAATAAGTTATTCTAGAATTCTTGCAGAATTGTTAGAGCAAGACTTTTTCTATTAGAAAAACCTGTAGAATATAGGTTAATTCATTTAGAAAATATTTTTTGAGCATCTATTATGGGCTGAGATACTGAGGCTACAGTATAATGGGGAGCAAAAACAATCATAATACTTGTCTTTATGGGTCTTCCAGTGCAATGGAGAAGACAGGAGATGGTCATCAATTATATGTAAATGAACAATTATGTTTAATACTGCACAGGAGAGGGTCATGGAGCTATGCTATGCGAGCATGTAATAACGAGAGCTTACCTGGTCTGGGGAGGCTAGCAGGGTAGCACTGGGATGGGGTCAGGATAACTATGCAATGCTTATCCAAACACTTAAAAAAGTCCACACCCTTTGAAACAAACAGCATTTTCACATTGAGGCATTTTCACTAAAGGAATAATTTGAGGTGTGCTAAGCATTTTGGCTCTAGGGACAAGGCATTGTTTTTGTTATAGAAATGTTGGAAACATCTTAAATATTCAAAAGTAGGCAGTTAGTTAAATTTATTGTGTTATCAAAAATTATGTCGACTACCCAAATCTTTTAAAAATAATGCAAACATGTTTTTATTATAATAAAAGATGTTTCATGAAAAAGAGTAGTTACAAAATAGTGAATATTTAAAATGCCTTTGCCTTTATCCCAACTCTATCTTTTCTAGTTACTCAATTTATCCAATTTGATTTCAAATATATCGATAATAATAATAATAGCAACAGTAACAGCTACTCATACTAGTTGCATTTAGCACACGGCAACCCTGTGCTAAATATTTTATGTCCATTATTTCAATTGATCTCATGTAAGCCAGTGAAACAGGTATTATTACATTTATTTATGTTTGTGTACTGAAACTCTTAAATATGTCAACACAGATATGTATTCTCTATGCAGCAAAGAGAGAATTGTTTCAATGCTCATGCTGTTTACCATGAATTTCATTATTGCCATTTTATCTAAGAAAAAATCCCTCATTCTTTTACGACAGCATTCTGCGAAGAGGGCTGCAGATATGGTGGAACATGTGTGGCTCCTAACAAATGTGTCTGTCCTTCTGGATTCACAGGAAGCCACTGCGAGAAAGGTAACCTAGCCTGTTTTTATTTTGGGGGTGGCAGGGGGGAAGAAAGTTTCAGAGAGAATGGAAGCTCTTTCTCTAGGAGTATAGTGCTGTGGGCTGACTTGATACCTTATGTTTTGATGATCGATGTGGCTCTCCCAAAGTGAAGGCATTTTCATTACTGCATAATAATTGTCCTTCCTCTGAAAATAAGCTTCATTTGCCCTCCCTTCAATGTGTCTAGTTTAGCAAGGTCGAGTCTTTTCTCTGCTATAGTTTGCAGTGTGCATTTTTAGTGCTAATTAGAGACAAGGCCTGACGAACTGACCTGCCCCACTTATCATCTATTGGGTAGCATCACACACAACTATTGGAGTTATAACAATCTGCTACATCAATGGAATCGAAACTAGAACCACATGCTCCTTGCATAAAAGCACATGAAATAACTCCAGGAGCAGCTTTATTGGTGTGCCTGGGATTTTATTCTAATATTGGTTTATTAGGGACATGATCATTCATGGGCCTGATAACATAAGCCAAGTAGTATTGGTAGGATTCCGTCGTGTGCACCTTTCTGTTTGCAACAAGCGTAGTGTTTGCGTTTGGCACTATTTGGTGAAATCCAGCTCTCTTATTAATTGGAGAAGTCCTCTTACCTGTATGCAAATGAAATTTGACATTCAATGCTATTGTGCCAATGTATATATCAATGCAAGCAAGGAATTTATGCCATGTAAAATTGAATACTTCAGTGTATGTGCCTAGGAGTTTTATTAGGCTAAAATCACTGTATTGTGTTCTTCTGAGTCTGGAATATTGTACTTGACACTTCTCATAGTACAGCATAGAAAAATGGAAATATGATGCTGTAGTCATTATCCCTATTATTAGATGTGGGGGAGGGTGTCTTCATCTAATGCCAAAGGTCTAACAAAGCTTTTGTTTTCTTTCCTTCGTGTTTAAGTGTTTCTGAATTTAGATAATGAATTTTTTAAATGAACCTATTTATTATACCCCATCTTGTCTAACATATTACGTTGCACTGCCTGTATATTTATAAGGCAGCCTGATCCTTTCAAAAACATATCAAAATTTAACTACATAAATTATTCAGCAAGGAAATCAATAAACAATATGTGCATCATTGTTTCCATATTTTGTGATATTATTGACAAATCAAATCACATTTATTAAATGATAATTACTTGGTCTGTCCTAAAAAAAGACATGTAAAGAGCCAAGTCCTGCATCTGAGCAGCATGAGAGAATTGCCACGTGCAGCTGAAGACCTCTTGCCCAAAGCAAAGAAACTCAATGGTCACTCAGCACATACGTCCCTATCGCAGCGTATTTGATTTTAATTGGGGTTTCTAAATGAAAAAAAAACTGAATGTTTCTCACTAGTTCTTCTAGAACTACTGTTGCCCTAACATGAATATACAGGAATTGACGGGGACCAAATGGTGATGACGATAATGTTGATGATGATGAATCCTTACTACTATTAACGATTTACCATTTATTATGTGCTGTTTACGCATCAGGCCTTTTAAATGAATATTTTAAAATTAAGAATAAATAAGAGATTACTCCTATTTTATAGATGGCAAACTAAAGCTTAGTTAAGTAACTTCCCCAGTGCTACAGAGCCAGTGTTAGAACTGAGAATAAAACTAAGCCCTCATTATAAAGTCTTGCCGGTGTTTCTCAAGGATCATACATAGACTTCCTGCTAAAATCCAGATTCCAGGGCCACCACCCCAGACTCCATGAATCAGAATATCTGGGAGCGGGTCCATGAATGTGCACTTCGACCAAGCACCTCAGGTTGCTTGTTATAAACCAATTACTGTTGTATTGTATTGTGATGTTTAACCAGAGTCTCTACTGTCAAGTTCTTAGTCTTTGTACATTGTAAAGAGTTGGGAGAGAACATTGATCTTAGATCAGAGCCTGAGTCAGTGATAGCCCAGGAAAAATTAATTGTGGTTTCTGATGGCTTGCTGATTTGACCTCTGTCATATTCTCTGCTCAATAAGTGGTTGGTTGAATCAGTGCTTACATTCTGGTCCATAATGTGAAGCAGGAAAAATAGAGATAAAGGAGAAAATCAACACCAGAGGCCAAAGTAAAACAGAGATAGGCAGGACAAGAGTTCCTATAGAAATGTTAAGGTTGAGATTGAGAATTGCATGTTCTTGAATTCTTGCACTGTTATTATAGGGTAAAAAATAAAATAAAATAAGGTTTCTCTGCGTGTGATACTATCCTCTATCTGTAGCAAAGCCATTCTATTTAATATTGGTGAATATTCTAATTCTAAGAGATATTTTGTGGCTAGGATAAAGTACATATTTTCCAATCACTTGTGTGCAAGGGATCAAGACGAATTATAGAACAAACACTGAAACCCTGGATCTAGACGAGTTATAGAACAAACACTGAAAACCTCTGCCATATCTTGTCTGAATTATTTTATTGTGGTGATTATTAGCAATAAACGTAAGTAAATCTGTTTGCCAATGAATAGTGATGCTAGATGCCTTCAGACTCAGGGCGCAAAGGAAAATGCAAGTGAATTGTGAATTTCTTAGATTACACTACCTCTTTTATTTGGTTTGTTTTAATTTCAGGGCTAACTAAATGGTCTCATTTGAGCTATATAGAATCCACTTATATTTAGTCTTAAAAATCTTTCCCTTGGCCCCCGTAGTTATTGGTTTTATTCATTGCTTGTGATAGTCAGACTTTCAGAATTCAAGTACACTTAGTTAAATCACTGAAATCATTTGTTAAGGAAAGTGCCCATCTGGAATATAATGAAGTTAAAAATCCCACTTGTGTTTGGTGTGCAACGCAAAGATGAACAACTCTGCATTTATTTTATAGTAACGAGATTTTAGTAAACTTAAACTTTTCATAACCCTCTTGAAGATAAGCAAACATTTTACCTACCTTGGTTTCTCGACAACACGTTGTGTTGGTTCTTCTCTTGTCCTTTCCTCCTCTGTGCCCTCAGCTTCAATTTGATTTGACATTTAACATGGAGATGTGTAAAGGGAGAGATGAGTGAAGAATCAGTAAGAGTAGTTTTGTTACTCTTAGGACAGGGAAGTGCTGCTGGTGAAAGCTCTCTTCTTAACCTTTCTATGAGAGCTGAAAAGATATAATGCCATGCTGACATAACATAGCCATCATATAGCTGACCACAAAAGAAATGAAACAACACAAAGTCTTCCTAGAGACTTTTCAAATGTAAAATAAAAGAAATACACCAACTCCAGAAAAATATTATTACTGTAAAACAGCAGAACATCATCCTCTAAGAAGTGAATGCGACTAAGTTTTCTACTTGGCATTAAGCAAATTTGCAAGCAACAACAAGTAAAGATTAAATAAAAGGAATCAAGCTTGTCTAGTTAAGAGTTTCTTAACCTTGACGCTATTGACATTTTGGATTAGATAATTCTTTGTTGTGGAGGACTGTCCTGTGCATTGTAGGATGTTTAGCAGCATCCCTGGCCTCTACCCACTACATAACATCAGCACGCCTACCCCCAGTCGTGACAATCAAAAATATTTCCTGACATTGCCAAATATCTGCTGGGAGGCAGAGTCATCCTTGTTGACAACTCCTGGTCTAGATATAGTGTTTTAAGAAATCTTTAAAATATATAGTATGTCAGTGTTATTTGAGATAATATAAAAATTATAAACATTTTTTTAGGAGACAAAAAAGCATTTTTAAAGCATCTCAGGCATTATTAGAAGTGCTTAGGGTTTATTGTAATTAGAAAATTGTTGACCATTCAAGAGCCAGAGACTGGCTGCTATCCCTCATCTGATATGTGGGACGCACCTTCTCATAGTCTTAGAGACCTGAGTAGTGTGGAAGCCGGGCCTGCTGTCCGCCCACCCTCTCCCACCTATGGAGTAGACATGTGGATGCTCCAAACTCACTGAAGGAACATGTGACTGACTCTAACCTTTTTGTTCTCCTGAGGGAAGATAGACTCCTTTATCCATTTTGTTTTTAGAATAAAGTTTTCAATGTATGTAACAGGAAGATAATTTCTCTTATAGTATAAAACTTAGACATACACGTGATTATCTGTGGTGGTACAGATAAGCCAGCCAATTTCACTGCATTTTCCTGTTTGTGTATTGTAAGAATTGTAAATTGTATAAATGCAATTGTATAGACATCAGGTATCCATAACCAGTGTCTTGTGAATCAGACTGTGAGAGTTGGACAAGATTAGTCAAGCTATAGGCTAGACCACAGTCTAGTGTAAAGGAATTGGAAAAAACATGCTGATATTATAAAAATAGCAGACCTTGACTTTTCCCCATAGTTGCTACAGAAATGGGCTCATTTGTTGTAAATATTATTCAGTAAACTCAAATAACCATTGAACCTCTCACAGTCTCCAAGCCTTTTCAAAGCATAATAAGTACCTGATCAAGAATATTCAGGAAAATCAATAAATAGTAAAAAAAGTTTAACAGCTTTATCCATTCACAATATAATTTCCAGTAGTTAGTATTTTCCTATTTTGCTTATTTGAATTTTCTAATTTTTCTCCAATAAATATAAATTATGATTGTAAAAAGAAAAGATTTTTTAAAAGCTTAAAATACAGAGAACGTAAAAGTCATGAACGGGACTTCATTTTTCTCAGTTACTGGGGGTCTTTTAAACCTTCCCTAAAGGTAAATGACTTTTTGCAGGATAATTTATTCTGTTCTTTTCCCTATGCTTCAGGGACTTGCAGATATGTAGACAGAGGGTAATAGTTTGCCCTGAGTATATTTTCCATCCACCAGGTAAAAAGAATGGTCAGAAACAAAGACTTCTATATTCTTCCGAATTTTAGATCTTGCCCCAATTTTGAGAGAGCTTTATTTGCGATTCTCTGTACACTCCCGTTTTGGGGAAAATTTTTCAGAATCTTTAAGAGGGTGGGTATTAGCTGCGTTCTCGTAACAGAGAAGAGAATAGTTCTGTGTCCTCTCAGGTA